GGTGCGCAGAGGTATGCTAATACATACGTTGACAGACAGGTAGGAAAGCCAATTAAAACGCTCGGACTGAGCATTTTGATTGGACGAACATTTCTTGGTCCTACACCTTCCACAGAATATATAAATACATTTAGACCACTTAACTTAATGATTGCTATCGGAATGTGAAGAGACTTTCAACCAGCATGATAAAAAATGTTTCTGAAGACAATCACCTATTGCACCTTTAACACCAAACGGCCCATGCTGCCATGAAGAGTTACTAATGAACCCACGCAAAGATTTTATTATGAAACGCCATAAACAAAACAAACAGTGCTTCAACTTAAATTTATGTATGTAATTTGCCAAGGCAACATTTCTAATTTTCTTTTAGTTGGAGTCTAATTTTTATATTTTATTTTGAATTAGCTTTTATTTTTATTTTTAGCTTTTTATTTTAGTTTAATATTTTGGTAATTTTGCTATGTGCTGTTGTCATATTTTATTAGTTTTTGTTCGTTTTAAATATTACTATTTTGGTTTAATTCGTTTTTATTTCAGTTTTAATTTCTATTTTATTTTGTATTAATGGCTGTTTAATAACTTTAATGCTTCAAATTAAATGTATTCCCTTTTGTTTCCAAGGAAACATTTCTAATTATTCTTTTTAATGTAATATTTATATTTCATTTTGAATGAGTTTTTAGTTTTGTATATTTTCACATTTCAATTATTATTATTTTATTTTATTTATTTATTTTGTAATTTCGCTATGTGCTTTTGTCATTTTTATCAGTTCTTGTTCTTTTTAAATATTATTATTTAGGTTTATTTTTATTTCAGTTTTAATTCTGGTTTTAGTTTGTATTAATTTTTGGTTAATATTTTTTTTGTGCTGCAGCTAAAATGTATTTCTGTAAGTTACCCAAGTTGCCAATATTTCAATTTTTCTTTTACAATAGTTATATTTTGTTTTGAATTAATTTTTAGTTTTACATTTTCAGTTTTCATTTTAATTTTAGTATATTTTGTAGTAATTTTGCTATGTGAATTTGTCATTTTATTAGTTTTTGTTCTTTTTATATGTTAAATTATTTAGCTTTAATGTTTTTATTTCAGTTTTAGTTTTTATTAATTTACAGTTATAATTTTAGCACTTCAACTGCTAATTTATTTGAATTTAAGTTTTTCATCTGATGGTTATATTTTATTTAATTTCAGATTTATTTAAAATAAAAATGTTTTAGTTTTAGTTCATGAGGAAATATTAATAATAATAATAATAATAATAATAATAATCATCATGGTAATAAATATTGCATAAAATAAGTTTAAGAAATAAGTCAAAAAAAAAAAAAAGACTCTTTCTGCAGGAGTATTTTTTATGATTATTAGAGAATCAGATTGTTTTCTTGGCAGCATCCGAGTGAAACGGCTGAGTGTTTACTAGCGTGTGTTAATGAAGCACAGGTGATGATTTGAGACGCAGACGCTCACCTTTGGCCGTCCTGTACTGCACAGGCTCCGACAGCGGACCCACTCCTTTGGCGTTCTTGGCCTGGATGCGGAAGAAGTAGATGGTGTCCAGGTTGAGGTCCATGACCTGGTGCGTGAGCCGGTCTCCGCCGATGGGCTCCATCACCCAGTCGTCGATGGGCATGTTCTTGTCCAGCGTGTAGTACAGGATATAACCTGACGCAGACAAGCAGGGTTAAACGGGTTAGTGCGGCGCTGACTCTGAGGTCAAAGGTCGAGTCTCTGCTAAGTGAGAATGTGAGTGTGATGCGAGGAAAATGAGGCCGAGATAAAGACACACGAGAGCTTTCAAATGCCAGACAGACCCTCAGCATCCTCTTAATGGGACTGTGTGTGTGTGTGTGTGTGTGTGTGTGTGTGTGTGTGTG